ACGGATGGTAGAAGAAACTAAGCACAACTAGAGTGTCTTTCCTGTCTAAGTTCCCATCTGTTGCAGAAAGTGCTGTCTATTCAACTCTAAAAGATGCACCAATTTCAGGAGGAAAAAAAATTACCCTATTTAGCAACCCATTTCACTAGTAATTCTGGGATCAAACAGTAAACAGGGCATAAATCTCAGCTCAATGGTAATTTCTTCTAGAAAGGTTTCCCAATGCAGATCATCCTCCAACTAAGGACAAGCCTGTGACAATGCTAGCATATATTTGGGCTTACTGTATACCTGTTCACCCTGTCTTTTATTAATGTAATAGTATCTTGTTCTTTACTAGGCATGTATTTAATGCTCTGCATCTAATGAAATTCAACAAATACATGCCACTGACTCTGCACATAGCTTACTTAGTGAATTTTCTTTGCTAAATTAATAAGACATTTGTTATTTCTCTGATGAAGTCATTTTTCATTGTAATCCTAAACACATCTAAAGAAAGAAAAAGATCTCATGAAATAAATTAAGAAACTAAGCTGAACTATATTTTACTATCTTACAAGCCTAAAAATTTTGAACGACCACTGATGCAAGGAGGGACCACATCAGCATCCCAGAATTTACCTACCAGCATACAAGACAATTCTGACCCTGCCACCGTTCTGTTCTCCTGAGGTCTCATTCTTACTGAGTCGTCAGGCCTGCTGCATGCCTGGCTATGGCTAACCACTTAAGAACACATCACGTAGCTATCAACAACATATCATTTTACATGTCAAAATTATTTTGAGGATTGTCTGTCTCAATGCTGCTCTCCATTACAGTATAAAATTGAGAGTAGGCCTGTATAAACTATTTGCTTAAAGCAGTTAATTATGTATTGATTCCACAAACTTTCACTTAAATGTTTCTAAATGTAATTTGAATAACAAATTGTGATTTATAAATTCAAAACAACTAAGACTTCAAACTAAGCTTGTTCATAGTAAAAAGACAAAAAATCTATTTTCCTGCAGAAGACATTTATTTAAGTTTATATACTTAAATATTATATACTTAAGATATACTATTAAGTTTGTATTTTATCATGGATTATAATGTTGTATATGTTAGTTACTATGCTATATCTCCTTACCAACTACAAATTAGAAATAATAAGTAGTAAAGAAAATCCTTGTTTTAGATAAATAGCCAAGCTATCAGAATAACTACAATTCTATGCTTTTATATATCTTATGATTTTAACTACCACATCATCAAGGCCACAAGACCTGAGTTCAAATCCTGACTCTATGGCTTGTGCCAGTAGGCAATTTATTAATCTTTTGAGATCTTAATTTAAGTATGTGTAAAGATGAGAATACCACCAAACCCTATTCAGACTAGTATAAAGAAACAATAATGCCAAATGTCTAGGACAGCCAACAGAATATATTCAGTAGGTTTTCCCAAACTTTGGGACTAAAAATCCAGGTCTCCAAAATACTCAAAAGCTTTATTCACTATGCATACGGACTTGTCTAAGTCTTGTAAAATGGCATAAATATACTATACTTACTAATATAAATTATGTAAAGGCACATAAACTGTAACTGTATTGCATCATCAACTGGTCTCTGTGAGGTTCATATGCTATAATACAATCCATTATTTTGTCAAACTAATTTTTGTTTATTTTAGAATTTTGTAGGGTTCAGAAAAACAGGGTTAAAGTGGTCCTGGATCATTTGTAGCCCTTTTAAAACAAAATAACATCTCCCAGAAAACTAAAATTGTTATTTCTTTTTCTTTTCATGTATGTCCTTAGAGCAAGCAGAGGCATTTGAAATTAAGTATTGCTCCTTCTTCAAAACAGAGTCTAGAATATGAGAATATACTGCCAGTGAATATGTGGAACGTTTAAAGACAGACCAGTCTCCCACATCTTGCCTTCTCATTCTGTTTGCTCTCATCCACCAACATCAGTAGGTGCAAGGTGAAAGGTGTGTATCAAAGGAAGAAGGAGGTGACATAACACTTTGCTTAAGTGACAATGGAGGTGTTTACAGATTGATATAAATACCAGTGCTGTAGCTTCTGTTTGTTTTCAAAGAAACCAGCTGATTATTTTGCCAGTTCTCCTTTTTCTGATTTACTTAGTACCCATGTGGGACTCTGATATAGATCCCAAGAATGAGGAGATAATAACAGAAGTGAGTGAAGTATAGGTAGAAAGCAATGAGTTGGGAAGCATTAAAAGTAAACACTGCCTGGGTAAGATTTTCTCAATTTCACATTTGCCATTTATATCACTAAAATAACAGCATCTTTAATTTTAAGTCAACCATAGATCAATGAAAACTCAATTTTATAGTTTTTTTCTACATATTCAATGTCAGAAAAATTGTGTAGTGTTTATGACATTTTACTAGATGGGCTAATAAAAAAATTTAATAGGAAGTAACAGAGGGTACAACCTAAATTTTATTTAATACATTCATACAATGATTTTACATCCGTATTTAAGTAACTGAGGAAAATCAGAGCTTATGTTATCTAGACTTAGGTACATATGTATAAATTTCCACTCTTGAGATATGAAATCTTCTTAATCCTCATAAATCACACTTAAAAAATTTAGTCATATCTATCAGTCTGAGACAAATTCAAGAAAACTGTAGACTATTTAATAATTCTCTGACACTTAGATCACATTACTATATAACATTTCAAAAACATCTCATGGGATATATTTCAAGCCACCACAGATATAAGATGCCTAGCAAGTTGATATTTTTTTGGTTTTTACCCTATTTTTCTTCTCAAAGGCTCATTTAATAATTACATTTAATAATTATGTGTGCTATATTTCTTATTAATCAGAAATTTTTAAATGGGGCATTTAAATCTTCCTTGCTCAGAGGATTTCAGTTTATAGTACACAGGCCCATAAAATAGTAAATGTGCCAATAAAAAGCAGGCATGGCATAATTTCAGAATGAACAGTCCTACCCAAGAAAAGATAGCTAACAATTTTATACCCACACAAATGGGGAGTCATTTCACCACATACCAATGAAAACACAGGCTAGTATCATCTGGCATTCTGAGACAATAATTCTTTCATTTTACAAATAACAAATCTGGAAATCTGAGACAATGTCTTCACCTAGATTACCAAGCTTATCGCTGGCAGGGCCAGAACTAGAATCAAAGTCTTTTTTCCACCATGCCAGGTCACCTGCTAAAGTCTAGCTAAATATTCTGCCCAAAATTGAGAATAATGCCGTCTTAGTCCATTCGTTGTTGCTATAACAAAATACCTGAGGTTGGGTAGCTCATAAAGAAAAAGAGTTTATTTAGCTCACAGGTATGTAGGCTGGGAATTTCAAGGGGCATGGCACTGTCATCTGCTCGGCTTCTGGTAAGGGCTTTCCTGCTGTGTCTTAACATGGCAGAAGATCAAAGGGGAAGCAGATGGTGCAAAGAGGTCAAACACAAAGGGCATTCTCACTTTACAACAACCTGCTCTCTTGGGAACCAAACCATTCCCACCAGAACTAATGCAGTCTCCCAAGTCACTGGTATATCATTTTGGAAAAGTAATTTGGTTATCTTTATTCATTTACTTAACACATATTTACTGAATGGCCAATCTTTACCAAGTACTATTCTAGATTCTGGAAACACGGCAATGAAAAAGACCGACAAGTCTTCTACCATTATATCCTAATGTGAGAAGAATGAAAATAAGCAAGAATACAAGTATCATGTCAGAGAGTGACAAGGATGTTAAAAAGGAAATAAAACTGAAGGAAACAAACTAGAAGGGGTGCTATATTTTATGAGTGTCCAGGAAGCCATCTCCAAAAAATATGCAAGTTGAACACTGAGCTGAAAAAATGGCAGCCATAATGAGCTAGACAAACATTTCAGATAGGCAAAAGAACAAAAGCCCTGAGCTGGGACCAGGTCAGAACATTCAAGGAATAGAAAGAAAGTCTGTATGTGTGGAGTAGAGGGAACAAATACATGACAGTGTGTACTACAGGGGCCCAGTCACATACTCTTTAACCTAGCAATACCACCTGTAGGACTCTATCCAATAGCAGTAATAGTAAGTATGTGTAAAACCATGCACAGGCTGGTGGTGAAATCCCGTCTCTACTAAGAATACAAAAATTAGCTGGGCATGGTGGCAGGTGCCTGTAATCCCAGATACTCAGGAGGCTGAGGCAGGGGAATCGCTTGAACGGGCCAGGCGGAGGTTGCAGTGAGCTGAAATCACGCCATTGCACTCCAGTCTGGGTGACAGAGTGAGACTCTGTCTCAAAAAAAAAAAAAAAGAAGAAGAAAACAAAACTACACACAGAAGAATCTTAGTGCTAGGTAGTTTGTAAAAGGAAAACAACTGGAAAAACCAAATGTTGATCAACCAGTCTGTTGATCATTTGGAGAATGTTAAATAGATTATGGTATAACATATACTATTACAGTAAAAGAGTTGGATAATATATGCACTGACCTGGAAACATGTCCTAGAGATATTATGTGAAAAAGCAAGTAGACTAATATATATGACATGATTCCATTTCTTAATGAGACTCATTAACTATGGTATTACAAATTTTAACCCCTAAGTCTGGTCCAGGATAAATACCACTTTGCGTCCCCCCGCTGCAAGCAAATGTCCTCTTGCATACTATCCTCCTACCTTTCTCTAATTCGTTCCCTGCCAGCATTTTGGCTTACCTCAACCGTTTCTTTCTTTTCCTGGGGACATGAATAGCATCACGAAAATTTTAAGAGCACAGAGAAGAACATTTCCTTATAATTTCAAAACACATTAGGTTTGAAATAACTTCACAATGACTGAATCAGCTCTAATGATTTCAGAGTAGTCAGATGGCATCATAAACTTGATTTAAAAATTTAAAAAACACATTATGAGCAATTAAAGAAAACTAAATATTCAGTTGGCTACTATAATAGCAATGATGAAAATTATGAATTATTCTTACCTCTACTTTTGTTCGATAGAGAACAAGTCGTTTAAGGCTGCATAACTTGGCAATGTGGTTGAAAGCTTGAGGTGGTAGCTTATCACAGGAGGAGAGATTTAAGGCTTGTAGATTTGGACACATCTCAGAAATAACTTCTAAGCAAGTTTCATTAAGAAAGTGGCTGCAAGACAATTCAAGGCGTACTAATTCAGATCCACAAACCTTCAGAAACCTGCAAAAACAACATTCCATGTGAATTTTATAAAACTAAAAGATATTTTTGCAAGAACTTTGCAATTTTAGCAACTCTAAGCAGATACATTTAAAAGGATAGATTTCTATTAGGGAAAATGTAAAATTTGTTTTGCTTAAATTCTTATTCACTGCATGCTGAAATATGAATGGTTAGGCTAAAAAAATCAACTTGAGAGGATAAAATGAATTCACATCATATAAAAAGTCAGCTAATGCTAAGTGGAAAATTAAGAAAGTAGAAGATGTATTTTCCCTACTTACCTATCATTCACATCTAAGTTGGTAAAGCCAAAAAATAATAATAATAATAATAACAAAACTCTAAACTCTTGGGAGATATTTCCCCCTCAACAGTACCTATCCAGTACTGGATAATATATTTTGAACACTGCACATGAAAGTGACAACTTTAATTAAGTAACCTCAAAACAAATCAGACTAGGCTCCCCTCAACTCAGAAAATGTCTATGTGGGTTTAACTAGAGCACTGTTACGGTCCTTGCAGCTGTTACTATTTAGCAGCTAGACTGCTTGATGTTGAAAATACTCAATTGCAGCTTCACATAAAATATATAGAAATAATCCAAGATGAAGGTCACAAAATGCTTTATCAGAGTAATTATCACAATATTTATCTCAGTTATATTATAGCTGGGGGAAAAATAGTCGTGTCCATGATCATCCCCTGAAAACAATCTAAGAGTAAACATGAATCTAGGAGTATTTGAATCCATGAAACTTTATCAACTAAGCACACTGAACCCTCTTAACAGTGCACCAATTATGACTGTCCAGGTCTCTTGACATAATCTTCCCACCAGTGTCACATCAGTAATATACTGTTAGTCAATTTATGCCACATCTTTATTCCTAAATGATTTAATGAGCTTACAAATACACATACAAAATAAAATTGACTAAATCAGATTAGTTGTGTAAATAAATCAAGTAACACTGGTTAAAAGATGTGGTTTTTTGCATTGTTCTACTAGTTCCTAGCAGAGACCTTGGAAAAGGCATTTACCCAAATCTTAGCATTTCCTCAGCTGTAAACGCAGACTTGAAGTATGTAACAACATTCACCACACTGCCTAGTGGAATTGAAGCTGAAATACTATGCAAATGCAGTTTTTAAAGGTCAAAGCACCCCATAAACATTAAGTATAAGTTAAATCTTGGCCAATTCACATTTAAACAATAAAAAAATTCAGTTGCTGCAAATTTAAATATTGTAAATAACCCAGTAGCCCACACATCTTATTTACACCTGAACACCCATTTATTCTAAATTCAAACTTGTATTATTTAATTTGTGACATTTCATACAACTGCACACTCCTTCCTTAAAACTCTGACACTCCTCATCTAACTGCCTCTCTTGGATCTCCTCCAACTCCTCTCACTGCTGTTTCCTTTGCTAGCTGTATTAGCTAAACTGCAGTTCGCATGAAGCACATTCATTCATTCAACAAATATGCACTGAGCTTCTACTATCATCCAGGTTACAGTCTAGGCACTGGGGAGATAGCAGTGGACAAAACAAAATCCCTGCTCTCATGAAGCTTACTAATGTTTTGAAGAGAGAAGGAGAAGATAACCAAATACGTAAAGTAAGTCACAAATTCGTGAAAAGTGCCCAGGAGAAAATAAAAGCAGGGAAGCACAACAGAAAGTGTCAAGGATGGATAGACTAGTCAGAAAAGCTTCAGAGATGTGGTGAGTAAAACCCTGAAGGAAGCGAGAGGGTGACAAAGCAGATATCTGGAGGAGGAGCATTCTAGGCAAAGGGAAGGGCAGTCCAGGGCAGGATAACAAGCAGAGTGAAGAACAGTGAGATGGGGGATACAGGAGGCACAAAATGATGGAGAGATGAGTAGATCAGAGATGAGGGACAGTTTACATACTGTGTGTCACTACAAAGACTCTGGCTTTATACCAGAAAGCAAACTGTTAGCAGACAATAGGAAACTTCCCAAGTTGATTTCATGAATGATAGAATTTGAAAGCACAATGAGATAAAGTCTATACCTATACTACCTTTCTTTCTTTCTCTTTATCAAGAATCCTGTATTGCATATTTTTACTCTGAGCAGATTATTTGATTAATACCCTCATATTATCTCTACTTAAATTTTCAAAATGTATACTACCTACCTTTTCATATCTACATCCCAAGAGGGCAGAGACAGTAGCAGACTCAATTAGCTGCACACAGCTCTTACTTCTTTCCTTAATGCTCCTCATGCAGGTTTTATTTTAATGCATAATTACATATATGTATTTATTCATCTCAACTGTGCCACTGATCATTTGAAAGGAGAACTCAGCTTGTTTATTTCCTGCAGTCAATTCATTTTACATTGTGCTCATAAAGTATTTTCTTATACTGAAGATTTTATGAGAGGACCTAAGTTCATATAAACAATCCCAGACTAGTCTCCTGCTACGAGAAAAGGAATCTCTGGAGAGAAAAATAAATTGCTTATCATTATGAGGTGAATTAATTTGTCCAGAATAATACAAGTACATAAGAAGTAATTTACTAAATGGTAACTTGCACCCTAAAATAATTAAGATCACATGAATGAACGATTTGAGTCTACTTATCACAAAATAAAAGGTAATAGTCCTCAGAAATTGCCTGAAGTATAAAAAAAAGAATTAGATATAAAATATCTATGACTTCTGAATTCCTAATCTCATGGTTTTTAGCTGACCCTCACCAAGTTTTCTAAAACAGTAAATTCAAGATAATCTTAATCCCAAATAACTTGGAACATTATTTAACATAGCTGATCCAAAATAAAGCCATTAAAAACAAAACTTCTGCTTAACTGTATAGGGGTAGTATCCAACAATGATAGAAAGAAGGGAAGGCCGGGCGCGGTGGCTCAAGCCTGTAATCCCAGCACTTTGGAGGCCGAGACGGGTGGATCACGAGGTCAGGAGATCGAGACCATCCTGGCTAACACAGTGAAACCCCATCTCTACTAAAAATACAAAAAAAGAAAAAATTAGCCAGGCATGGTGGCGGGCGCCTGTAGTCCCAGCCGCACGGGAGGCTGAGGCAGGAGAATGGCGTGAACCCAGGAAGTGGAGCTTGCAGTGAGTGGAGATCGCGCCACTGTATTCCAGCCTGAGCGACAGGGCCAGACTCCATCTCAAAAAAAAAAAAAAAAGAAAGAAGGGAAAAGAACATCTTAAAATGGTCCCTACTTTCTAGAGTTGACAATCTAAGACACAACTGCATAAAATATAGGCAGGCAACTGAATAAATATATTAGTGGAAAATAAGCTCTTCATACCATAAAACTTTAGCTGTATGTCAAAATACCTAATAAAGTTCTCGAATCTAGAAAGCATCCAAGAATGTTTCCTAAAGGAGTGAATATAAACTACTGAGAACAAGTAAGAGGGGTTTAGAGTAAAAACCCACACATAACTGAGGGGGAGACAAGGCCGTTCAGCAACTATTTGAAGAAAAATGGTAGGGAACAAATGAACCTAAGGCTTTTTGAACAGAATAATACAATTAAGTTCAAAGCACAAACAGGCAGGCAGGCAAAGGAACATCTAAGACATCAGGGAACCATATTAGAAAAGTGGAATTATAATAGATGTGATTTTAATGAGTAATGATATGCATGAACAGCACTCAAAGTAGCAAATCACAAATCTGTAGCTAGATTAAGATTTTAATAACTGATTAAAAGTTTTAAGTTCTCTTTATTCCAATGTAACCTATTTCTCTGCTATGATGAATAATAAAAATTCCTAAAAAGTTATTTAAAATCCAGTTAAACAGTTCTGACTTGTGAGATAAGGTTTTTAAGCAACAAAAATAAACTGCATCAAACTTTTTCCCAAAGATTTGTTCAAAAAACAGCTCATCAACATTGGTCTCTAGTTTTTAAATGTGCTTTTCTTCTTTAAAATATTACAAATAAGTCTTCTTCATAGCAATGAGCATAAACAGACCATACTTATTCATAGATTACTCATTAATAATCAAGCCGTGCATATTTGTTTATTCTGGGAATGCTGCCTACAAGCCATAGTAACTATCAATTCAGCAGTCAAGTCATGGGGGCCAACAATAATCAGTAGGGAAAACTCCAACACGTCCCGCCCAAGAAAATGTTCTCTCTCCCTCTTGCTTCAACTTTTTCTTTTCTTAATGGGAATAGTGACTACACTTAAAGGAATGCCATCAAGATTTATGATTTTACTGGCTGAAATATTACAGTAAAATATAAGAACTTAAATCTATATATGGCTTGTTCTGATTATTCAAACTGATTATTGCAACTACCCTGGGTGAATTGAAAATGGACGATAAATTGTGGGTTAGAAGTAGACAGAAACTCTAACTTTGCAAAAGATCTTTATCCATTACTAGTATAAAAATTTTTTAAATGGCATGGCTAAGTTTTCTTCTTATAAGTGATGTTTCTTCTCATGTGCTAGAAGAAGCTACATAAAGAAACTTAAAAATTGATTAATATTAGCTTTATATTTTACTCATTATCACAGTCATATGCAGCACTTTGCCAGTGAAGCTGGACTTCAGCCATTCATGACCAATGTTTTCTTTAATGTCTACACTTAGTTACTACCCAGTTATTCTGTTTATAAAAATAAATAAGGGATATGCTTATATGTTTATCTTAATATCTTTATCTTCTCTGTAGCCTGAAGGCAGGAACTATATTATATAGCTCATATGTCTCTGCATACGATCAACACCCACTGAAACTCCTTGTACACAAAGGGTAAAAACAAACATTTAATAAATTCTTAATAATGGAAAACATTGGGAAAGAGCTATGAGGGTGATTAAAATGCCCCAAAGGTCTATATAATGTAAAATAATGCTTACTGACACCACTTGTTCTATCTGTTCTCATATTCAGTTAGTCTTGGTTTATGATAATGTATGCTCTAAATATTCACAGTCTTCATTAGCTTCAGTTCTTTCTTAGTCCTATTAGCAGAGAAAAGAATTTGAAATGTGTGTGTTTGGCACAAGGGGAAGTAGAAAGGACTAAACTCTGTTTCACTGGACAGCTGCCAAATATCTAGCAATGAACCCCTTCCCGTGGCTCAATTTCTGGCAGAAAAGAAACTCAGCGCATCCACGGTTTCAACACTTGCTACTGGCCATTACTGCTTGGTTTATTTTTCACTCTGATGCATAAACTATCAAGGTCAGTATTTGGAACACATTGTTACTATTTCAAACATCATTACTTCATTTAAATCTAACAATATCAAATCTTTATTTCTGGAACTGCATCTTTATTTTTACAATCTGAGTTAAGAGGAAACAAGGCTCTACATACAAATTTCTAATTCATAAACCAGTGTTCTAGAATGTATTCACTGGAGATATGTGTAGGGATTGCTATAGTTCATTTTTCGTTTTTAAAAATAGAATACAAGAGTATTCATTAATTAAAAATAACAGAAAATTTCTCTAAAGTTTCTACTCCTTCATTATTTAACTTCATGAAAATGCTGGGATTATATGTAACATACCATGAGAAAAACCATGATCAAGGTTAGGAGAAAAACTCCTGTTTGTATCCTAAGAAAAATGACTGTGGCATTACTAAATGAACATGCACTTGCGCAAGCTTTCAAATGCTTAACAGGTGACATTTAATAGTAAGGAAACGAAATGCTTAAATAGAAAGGAGCAGAAACACCTGGGCAGGTCTGCAAGTGTGGTCGCCTATTTAGCATGCAATTGCATTTTCAACATAATTAGTTTAAATGAGCTTCTAAATCTGGGTGATGTATTGCACATGTAATTAAGATTTAATTAAAAATGTTCTATAATAAATTGTTTTCCATTTCTGACAAATCACATTAGAGAGGTAGATTTTGATCTGGAAATAGTTTTTAAAATGTGTTAATCATCTGTGCTGAAAATATGAGAAAGAAGAAACAGGAGGCCTGAAGTAAAGGATATAGTTTCCCTTCATATTCACATAAAATTTAGCTGAAGAGGATAGTAAAACACTCATTTTTTATAAGCAGCAGCATTCTAAACATGACACTCAAAATTTATTTCCTTTTAATTTTTGTAAGGTACATGTTACATAATTTCAAACTTTTATTATGAAAACTACTACATAAGTATAGCCTGCTGCTGGGGAAAAAAACAAAAAACAAAAAAAACTTCATCAAGCCTTTGTACTAACCTGCTAAATCCTGCAACAGAGATGAAGCCTCTATTGCCAGTCCAAGATAAATTAAGCCACTGGACAAGAGTGCATCGAGACTGTAGAAATTCCAAAGAGGTGTCATCTAGTTTTGCCCAGTATGGTTGCAGATTGAGATGGATGTATTGTAGAGGATCACAGCAATGCTGGCTCAGTAGTTTGCAAGTCTGTGCTAATCTACACAGGTCTGGTAGTGTAAGATGATTCAGAATCAGTTGAATAAGCTAAATAAGACAGAGAAACCGAGATCGTCAAGAATGAAAAGCAGTATCATTTTATGAAACATATAACATGATCTAATAAGGAATAAAATGTCATACATTTTATAACAATATTTTCATATAGTAAATAAAAACATTCAACGGAATTATCCAAAGAGAAGAAATCATGCATGCATTTGACTATAGTACATTTCGAGACTGTTCAAAGTATACTCAGCACATACTGCCTACTCATTTTCTTAGGTGCAAAGATACATTCTGGTAATCTATTGAATAATACAATTTGTCATACTCAACATCACTGAACAGCTACTACGTGCCAGACACTGGGGACAGAAAAGAAAGAGTGCCAATTCTCAGAGTGCTTATAGTCCAGTGGGGATTGGTAAGGACAATGATACATTTTAATAGCTTTGACAAAAAGAAACACAGAATGCTACTAAAGCCTAGCAGGCCTAGCTTCAAAGTGAAAGTGTACCTGTGCCAGGAACACTCAGCTTTTTTTTTTTATGTATATATACTGTTAAGTTCTGGGGTACATGTACAGAATGTGCAGGTTTGTTACATAGGTATACACGTGCCATGGTGGTTTGCTGCACCCATCAACCTGTCACCTACAGTAGGTATTTCTCCTAATGTTATCCCTCCCCTAGCCCCCTACCCCCCAACAGGCCCCAGTGTGTAATGTTCCCCTCCCTGTGTCCAGGTGTTCTCATTGTTCAACTCCCACTTATGAGTGAGAACATGCAGTGCTTGGTTTTCTGTTCCTGTGTTAGTTTGCTGAGAATGATGGTTTCCAGCTTCATCCATGTCACTGCAAAGGACATGAACTCATCCTTCTTTATGGCTGCATAGTATTCCATGGTGTGTATGTGCCACATTTTCTTTATCCAGTCTATCATTGATGGACATTTGGGTTGGTTCCAAGTCTTTGCTATTGTGAACAGTGCTGCAACAAATATACGTGTGTATGTGTCCTTATAGTAGAATGATTCATAATCCTTTGGGTATATACCCAGTAATGGGATTGCTGGGTCAAATGGTATTTCTAGTTCTAGATCCTTGAGAAATTGCCACACTGTCTTCCACAATGGTTGACTAATTTACATTCCCACCAACAGTGTAAAGGCGTTCCTATTTCTCCACATCCTCTCCAGCATCTGTTGTTTCCTGACCTTTTAATGATCACCATTCTAACTAGCATGAGATGGTATCTCATTGTGATTTTGATTTGCATTTCTCTAATGACCAGTGATGATTAACATTTTTTCTTATGTTTGTTGGCTGTATGAATGTCTTCTTTTGAGCAGTGTCTGTTCATATCCCTTGCCCACTTTTCGATGGGGTTGTTTTTCTCTTGAAATTTGTTTAACTTCTTGTAGATTCTAGATATTAGCCCTTTGTCAGATGGATAGATTGCAAAAATTTTCTCCCATTCTGTAGGTTGCCTGATCACTCTGATGATAGTTTCTTATGCTGGAACATTCAGCTTTAACGAGTCAGGGGCAAACCAGGTGAAAAGAGAGTCTAGTGGTAAAGACTGTGTTATGAAAGCCTCACAGAGGAGCTTTATCCTGAAAGCAATGAGGAGTCCTGAAGGGTTTTAAACTAGAGTGACATGTTCACATTTGTGTTTCAGAAAGAACATTGCGGGGGTGCTACAGGAAGCAAGGAGGCAGGAAGAGAAACCAGCCATGGGGCTAATACAGAATTCTAGGAAACAGGAAATAAGGGGTCTGCTTAAGGTAGCTGGCAGTGATGATGGAGTAGCAAATATATATAAGAATTATTAAGAAGGCAGAATTCAAAACATTGCTTTCTCTAATTAAAATTATCTTATCGAATTACTGCAAGATTTATTTTTTCTTAACAGTTGGGGGCTTCTAGTTTCAAAGAACTACTGCTTAAACAGCCTATTCTGAACTAAAAACTATAAAGAAAAAGACACTAAATATTTGCTAAATGTTAAACATCTTATTTAGATGAGAGAGGGTTTTTTTTTTTAATTTAATGTATTTATCTAGTTAAATTTTTTGTTTTGCAATTAACCTAAATGCTCTTCTTCAATTTATTTTGTTATCTAGGCTCAGTATTAATTTCAGGTCAGAATTTCACTGTTTTAAGTCAAAATATCACAAAACATAGAGTAACAACAATACGATCTTTAAAATAAGTTTAAAGAGTATGTAGCCAGAATCTCCTTACTCCTGATGTTTCTTAGTAATTTTCTACCCAGTGACTCTCCAACCTGCTCCCTGGCTATTAATTCCCACTTGCCCATGCTGTTGAACCCAGTCTCCCTCTCACACTGCAAAATCCCATTGTAGTGGTCCCTATACCTAGCACGATTGAGTAATTTTTCTTTAACAAATCTCATCATCCAGATACGTTGATGTGTAAAATATTACACGAACAAAAATCAACAATTTCAAGTAAAAAGTAAACCCAAACATTGAAGAAAGGTCTAAAATGAGAAGTTTCTGCCTCTCTACACTCAGTTCTAACCATCCCTCTCCCCAAAGATAAGCATTAAGTTTTTCTGATCTCTTCCAAATAAATGTATATGAAATTGTGTTCTTGAATTTGCACTAAAACAATGATACTATATACACCATTCTGCAACTTGCTCTTCTCATTTAATGATATATCTTGTAGATCTTTCCATATCTGCACATACAGACCCACCTCCTTCCATTTCATAGAAGTGACATAATTCGACTAGTTTCTCATTGATGCATTTCCTGCTTTTTTTCCTATTGCATATAATACTGCAATATCATTGTGTGTATGTATTACGCATGTATGTTCATCTTGGCAAACTTTGAAAATATATCCTTATAGTAAATTATATGCATTTAAAAGTTTTGATGGAAGTGGAAAATTGCCATTCAGAATGTTCACATCAATTTATATATCCACAAAAATTGTATGAAAGTACCCTTTTGTGGCCGGGGGCAGTGGCTCACGCCTGTAATCCCAGCACTTTGGGAGGCCGAGATGGGCAGATCACGAGGTCAGGAGATCAAAACCATCCTGGCTAACACGGTGAAATACCGTCTCTACTAAAAATACAAAAAAAATTAACCAGGCATGGTGGCAGGTGCCTTTGGTCCCAGCTACATAGGAGGCTGAGGCAGGAGAATGGCGTGAACCCAGGAGTTGGAGCTTGCAGTGAGCCGAGATTGCGTCACTGCACTCCAGCCTGGGTGACAGAGCAAGACTCTGTCTCAAAAAAAAAAAAAAAAAAAAAAACCCTTTTGCTTCTATCCTAGACAACACTGGTATCAAAACTTTTTTATTCCAAAAGGCAAAAAAGGAAGAAAAGATATAAAACTGTTTTTATTTCTGTTTCTTTTTTTTTAACAACATAAATATAACAGCTTCCCAGAGGAGTTGTCAATACATTTCCCTCTATCCTCTTGGCCTGTTCCTGGACTCTATTCTGTTCCATTTATCTATATGTTATTTCTCCCATATCAATAGTCCTCCAAGTAAAATAACTAGGTTTTTTAAAGTTTATGTGTTGGAATATCGTGGATTGTTTGGCTGCAAATGAGAATCAGGACTAATACCTCTCTATCACTCTTTTCCAGAATTTTCCTGAGTATTTTCATATTTTTAGGCAAACTTTTCAATTTAAAAAAATTCTGCTAGCATTTTAATTGGGACTTCATTGAATACACTAAGGAAAACTGATATTTTTACTTTATTATATTTTTCTACTCTAGGGCATGTTCTAATTTTTTAGCAAAAGTAAATTATCTGTAAAGTCTAAAGTATCTGTGACTCCCCTTGACTAATTTGGCTGTATACTGGACCACCCTGAAGACCACTGGCTGAAAGGATAAAATGCAAATTTCTTGGTGAAACCCAGACAGCCCTCTATGATGCTGCAGAATAGACTCCACACTGCCAAAGACAGGGAGTCCCAATCACTGTCATCTATGTGCATGGAGCTGTGCACTGAGGCAGCCCTGAGCCTCCATCCAATTCCATCTCCTACAGTTTTCCCTATCAAATCCTATGTTTTGGCCACACTGAAATACTGGAGTTCCCAAACAAGTCTCACAGTTTCACTTCTCATCTTTGTATCTTCTCTTCCCTTTGCCTAAAGTGTCCTCTGGCCTTCATTCAAATTCTATGGGTCAAGCATTTTATCAGGTCTGGAAAAAATTCAATAAACTGTTTAAGATGTATTTGCTGAAATTAAACTTCTGTTTTACAGTTTTTGCAAGTGGGTAAGAATCAAAGCAGCGATTCACTCTACTCCAGATGAACTGCTCCTACTGCTGCCACAACAGACCCTCCTCAGAGCCCTGAGGAGCAACACTGTCAGTATCTCATGCTCCTCTCTCCCCACAAACCCAGCTTTTCCTTCATCTTTCCTCCCTCTTCCCAGTAAAGGCCAGTCTTGTCCAATCTGTGAAGCTTCCTTTCCAACACATGAGGTCTGGGTGGGATCCTGGTCCCATGGCTTAAAGACCAAATTACTTTGGACACTTAAATTCATCTTTATGTGGCAACTTTAGCTACTTCACAGGACGTGCCATGGCATTTTAACTGTAATACGTTGGAGAGGCATTATAGCTACTATTACTCTAACACATTCAAGAGGCTATCTTATTGTTTCATGAAAGTTAAGCTATTTGTGTTACTTCCATGAAATCTGAAATACCCATCAATTTGGAAGAGGGATATCTCAGTTGGTTAAAATTTGAGTCTATAAAGTTTTCTTAAAAAGAAAACTGATTATACATTTTTAGCCACACAGTAGTTTTCAGTGGGAGACAGAAATGCTTGGCCCTACTCTCACCCCTAGGAATATTTCAAAACTGGTGGGGAGAGGTTTTGGTATCACATGGTCCTGGAATGCTACTAGCATTTGACATCGGGAGCCTGGAATGCTAAATATACCTCAGAAACACCCCAGTAGGGACACAATGAAAACAAGACTTCAGACTAGACACATAAAAAAGTATTAATAATTCCAGGCTGGGCGCGGGGGCTCACGCCTATAATCCCAGCACCCTGGGAGGCCAAGGCAGGCGGATCACGAGATCAGGAGATCGAGACCATCCTGGCTAACATGGTGAAACCCCGTCTCTACTAAAAATACAAAAAGTAGCCGGGCGTGGTTGTGGGTGCCTGTAGTCCCAGCTACTTGGGAGACTGAGGCAGGAGAATAGCGTGAACCCAGGAGGCGGAGGTTGCAGTGAGCTGAGATTATGCCACTGCACTCCAGCCTGTGTGACAGAGTGAGACTCCATCTCAAAAAAAAAAAAAAAAAAAAGTATTAATAATTCCAAGGTAAAAGCACTACCTGCCTAGACCAAAAATTACAGTTAGGAGAATACAGAATAGAGTTAGTATAGGGAAAAAAAAAATGACACTTAGAGAAACTATGGATTAAATAGAATAAGCATTCATCTCACAATCTTAATATTCTTATTTTTAATAGCAAATCATCTTTAACATAACTAATACAAAGTTATGCATGTACTGCCCATACTTAAACTGTGTAATATGAATTAAAGTGGATTGTTACTTGTTACTGATTTTTGTATTTGGTTATTATTAGCAATATGAAAATACATACTTAATAGTTTATCCAGAAACACTAAAGCCAAACCAAAACAAAAGCAGTGAAATTAGTTAAAACATGATTTTGTCTAGTTTTTCCAAAATCAAAATATACAACATCAAATTACATATACCTTACTAATGCTCAATTACCAACGCTCAGTAAACATTAATATCTAAAGACTAAAAATCTATAGTGTTTTATCCAATACTGCTGCTAAACATTTTTGGCTTACCTCATAAGGTAGTTTATCAAAATATCCATTATTTGGCCCTTCCCTGAGGACAGCACTGCTAAACTTTTTGTTAAGACTGTCCATTCCACAACCATCCTTTTCTTCATAGGCATCATCATCTATATCATTCATGTCAATAAGTGAAGTCTTGAGAGAAAGCACTGGCTTGTCCTTCACACCATGTAGCACAACTGCATCTAATTCAGTGTAATAATCCAGAAGAGAACTATTTACTTCCAGTCGTATAAGATTTGTAGGAAAATTTATCTGCTTAATACAAGGTTTAAACTGGCGAGCTTGGGAAGCATTCAACTTCGTAGGTCTCTCTGACCAAAGAATCTCCCATCTGCCAAAAAAAGAAACTTCCCTATAATACAGTTTAGAATGAGATCTACTGGTCCCTTAAGGTTATAGCCCCATGCCCAGTATGTCACAGTGTGAAACAAAGTCATCAAAATAAATAGAATCCAATATAAGTATTGTTCCCAAGATATAAAGACGTTAAAAAACCAAATGCCACAGACCTTATTACGTAATTTATTTTTATAAGTCCCCAAACAGTCCTTTTTTATAGATTTCACATTGGTCAGTTTAAAAACCGGAACATGTAGTTAGAGGTAGCTGAACAACATTCCATTTTACAAGATAAGTAAACTCAAAGTAACAATAAGACACACGAAGATGAAGCTCTCCTGTGTACATGGCTTAAACCAACTGCAGAAACTAAACTGATCATTTTGCTTCACAAAGGTCTCCTACTTCAGCCTTTGCATTTCTGTCACTAGCCTCATATAAACGCAAAATTTTCATATTATCTTTTTCTCTTTATTTTATCAAATCATGAAGTTTCATCAAATTTTTCAAGAAAGTGTTTCTTATATACGCCCTTCTCCTGAATTTCCATTTTTGCCATCTTTAAGTTATCCTTATATCCTTAGTATCTAGCAAATATCTAAACACATAAAAGGGGAATAACATTCTCCTATTTCTCCAAATGAACTCCTGCTTCCCAGCCAGATTAATCATTATTTTCCATGCAATAAACTTATTTCCACCTTTATGTCTTTGCTCGTGTTATCTTCCTCCCCATGAAATGCCCAACCTACTATTATCTGCCTATCTATTCTTCAAGGCCTAACTTATATTCCATCTCCATATAAGTCTTCTTATAGAACTATTTTCCAAAATTAAAGATTCTTCATAATCATAGTATCATCAGGTACTTAATATACTTATATGTCAGTTAACTATTTCTCTAATATTGTTTCTAATAGAGAAGAGAAAATTAGAAACATTTAAAAAATACTTCAATTATCAGCTTTCCTCTATTCCTAATTATTTACTGTGGCTAGTAAAATTTTTTAATAAAGATTTTACATCAAGGAATAAGAATATTTTTAAGTCTCTCAATATACACTACAAACTGCTTTCAAAAAAGCTTATGCCAATAGTACATAAGAATGATCACTGAAAGCATTAAAAATAATCTCTAGTTTGATTGTGAACCATATCTCCTTATGATGTAATTTGTAATTCACTGATTAATAATGACACTTAATTTTTTTATATACTCATTAATTACATGAGATTTTTTTCCACCAATAAATTGTTTGTTTATTTTCCTGGCCCAATGACCTACTGAAATCTAAGTAAAAACTGATAATGGCAAAGCATAGAGGAAACTGGAAAAAAAAAAAAAAAAAAAAAGAATTGGAAATTCAAGGGAGAAATCAGAGCCAAAACTATAGAAGCCATCAACATATAGGTACTCCAACTGTTTTTAGGCCCAAGAAGGGACCAAGCAAAGCATATAGCCACAAACTTGGAAGAATAGAGAGGGAAGTATGGCAATTTCCACCTCCAGGAATAAAAGCAAGCTCCAGAGGAATTCTAATAAACATATCACGAAGGGAATCAGGAACCACAGAACAGGGAACTTTAACAGTAGGGACTTTTATGGAAGTTTCCAGAATGTTTAAAATCCCATACTTGTTATTTTTGCTGATTCTCTCCTGAAATGTAGGAATAAAATCCATCAAACATAAATAGCCTGTGAGTACTTGTATTCAGAGGCAACACTAAAGTAGCAATGGAGAAATTAGTTACGATCTATAACCAATCTTGCAAGGCAGGGAAAGAGTTCCAAAGAATGGAGCAGGCTGTGGCAGGTTTAATGAGGAAAGAGAAGCAGGTGGGTATCTTCTTCCAGTGACAAGGCAGAAAAATAAACCTGGCGTGCCAACCTGAACCTAAGAAGTGTCCCTAGAGATTAGCTTGTAAAATCAAAGGTTCCTAACAAAGGAATTGATTTGAATAACTCTAATGTAAATATATGCAGTAAAACAGAGCTAGTCATATAGGTGCTGGGGAACAGAAGCATGAAATATCTAAAACAATACTGGTGAGAAAATTCAAATTTTGGTCTTACTCTTTCGTCACTACTGCAAATTGACACCAGACAATGCTGGAGGAACATCTCCAAGAAACAAGGACCCCTCAAGACCCTATGAAACAACCACCTATACTGGTTTACAGCACATGTGAACCAAACCAACCTTTTTGTTTAGTTTCAATGGGGAGTTTTGTGAGGCCTAAGAAAAACACTGAAAATATAATATAGAAATAACCTCTGCCAAGTGCTTAGCAATAAATAAATATGCACACAATACAGGTCTTCATGTATAATTTGAAATGCATTATAATGTAAATCAAATTAAAAAATTATAAATATAAGTATAAAGATATTGATTAGAACATAAATATTCCATTTTAATAATGCATTAATCTACAAAACTCCTCTCTAGCTACCTTGCAGAACATGCAAAATAGACAGGGTTGAGATGATGCTTTAAACTGACTTCCTTAACATTTCTAGCATGTTTAAACTTATTAGGATTAATGTTATTTTAGCATCATTCTTGCTTCTGACTTCTATATAGCATGAAGATTCTTTAGTTACACATATATCAGAAGCTGCAAAAATTATACTTAAAGTAGAATATCAGGATCGTACCTGTCTTTAGAAAGATTTAAAAATATGTCTAAATATTTAAAATTTGCAAGTAAATCATTAGTTTTTATATTTTACTTTTATTTTTCTTGATAATCTAAAAAGCAACATGAAAAAAAAGACAAAAATTATTTCTAGGTCTGTGGACACTTGAATTAATATTAACTATGAGACCAATACAAATAGATTTTCTGCTATCTGCATTAAAGTTTTTGTTTAAAATTCCCCAACAGAGCTAAAATGTATCATTTCAAAGTTAAAAAGAGAAAGGTATCTATCCTACCCAACAAGAGAATATTCAAATTTCTTTTTATTCTGGAAAACTAAAGCCAGAATAATAAAAACTAGTCAGTGACAACAAGAAAACAAACATAAACATATGCACATGTACACAGGGGTACACACACATACACACACACAAACACACACACATTCTGGAGAAAGCCCGACTCTTTTAATTCTCTAGCCCCAGGGCAGAGTTGATATGATTAAACTCCTTTAGGTCATGGCCTTTCATACACGGTATTTATCTACTGGACAAATCTGACAAACTCTAATGTACTCTTTAAGTATTTTAAATCTCGAGTATCACATGTGCAAATTTCAGCCTGGAATGTCTTTGAGACTGGGCTTACAGTCTGCATCTGGAGCATTCAATTCTGGGATGGTAACCAGCACAGCCCATTTAATGTTCTTTCTGTTGATTGTACTGGATGACTACTATGTGTCCAGTGCTCAGAAACAATAAACCATTCTCTCTTTGACTGTTGACTTGCTGTTATACCACTGAGAAACATTCTCCAGGGCAACCAGGAAGCAGTGGGTAGATGAGAGGAAGAGAGATGTTTCATTAATGGAAATCAAAGAAAGCAAGTTTTCTAATCTGTATTGAGGCTTGAAGCCAGGCAGATGAGTACATAAAGCTTCCCTGCAACCAAAATTTATCCTAGCCAGTTAGTATATCTAGTAGCCAGCAAAGAAAGTTATCTTGCCAACTCTGTTCCATTTCACTAGCTGAAAGTAAAGGAATAGTATAAGAAAACAGAAATAACAGTAAAAAGTATTCTGACAGGTGTATCTATTCACTCCCTGCCTCCCAGACCATTTCTAATTGGAAACTAATAAACTAGCATGTACTTAAAAAAAAAAAAAAAAAAAAAAAATTAACTAGCGAAGAGCTCGGTCAATTCTGAGTTAAATGACAAAATCATGTTTCTTGGCCCACAGAGTCGAAAGGACCAGGTCATGATAAATTTGTGAAATCGTTACTTAACTCAATTTGGTAGCAAATTCTATGAAAGCCTCTTTTTTTCTCCCTGCTTTCTTAATTTCAATATTATATAGTTGGACTGCTTTGTACACTGAAAAAAAAATTCCACATCATTAAATTTCATTCCCAAATAACTTTATTCCAATTGGTTTCTTTAATCTGACCTCTATTTGTCATCTTCCTCTTCCCCCTTTCCTTGTCTCTCTCTTCCAAATGGTAACCCTGAGCTAGCCTACTTTCTGAGTCTTACATAGGCATCCATTAAGATATTATTCACAGGACTAGGGCACTCTAAAACCTGCAACTTCCACCTTCTGGTTTCAAGCGATTCTCCTGCCTCAGTCTCCCGAATAGCTGGAATTACAGGCGCCCACCACCATGCCTGGCTAATTTTTGTATTTTTAGTAGAGATGGGGTTTCACTATGTTGGCCAGGCTGGTCTCGAAATCCTGACCTTTTGACCCACCCACCTGGGCCTCCCAAAGTGCTGGGATTACAGGCGTGAGCCACTATGCCCGGCCTTTTCCTTTTCCTCTTAATAAGGTATTAAGCAAGAAATGAAAAGACTTTAAGATCTGGTAGAACTGCCTGTAACTTTTCCACCCCATTTACTGAACAAAGAAATGCAATCACACGAAATAGGAAAAGACTGGTTTTAAATTTTAAATGTTCTGGGACTAAAAGTAGTTAATTTCCTGCAAATTCCTGAGCTACTCCAACACACTCTTGTTTGTTAACTTCTAAGGGGGGGATATAAAATTAAAATAATAGGCAGTGCAGCCCAGTGGTTCCCAAACAGTAGTACAAGATGGAGTTTTCCATCAATAATGTGAGAATGCACATTTAGTATGCACCTATCACACATATATGTTCTTATAAAATTGAAAAAAATCTTTATTCAAGATTCTAATCATGCTAATTTCTTGGTATAAACTGAGTTGCTTAAGTAATCATTTCACAAATTTGTCATGATCTGGTCCTTTCGACTTTGTTGGCGAAGAAACATAATTTTGTCATTTAACTCGGAATTGACCAAGCTCATCACTGGTTAATTTTTTTTTAAAACAGATGCATAAACTTTTATGAAATGATGGTGATGATAGATAAAATTGGTATTTTGTCTTTTCACTGTACATTAATTTAGCACAGTAAATAATCCAACAAGTCTATGAGTTCCCTAATGTTTATGATCATTATTATGTTACTAGTTTATTGTGACTGACTCCTCCCACTTGAACTCCATTCACCTGCACACCCCCCATCTCATCAGTTCTATGTGCCACCCTGCAGATAGGCTTGCTTTGCTCCTAAGGGTTTACACCTACAACCTTCTTCACAAAACTACCTTGGGCTTCATCTAGGGAGTGACATGTGCCTGGAAGACTGACAGTCCCCATTCCCACCCTTCCAGCCCATGGTCGAAGTCTGGTTGGTGCAGGAGTACGAGAGCCCAGCTCTCTAGCAACTTTGCCTCCCAGCAGACTGGGACTTTACATGATATTGCATCCTTGCTTGACTTTTTCCCATCGTGCTTCCTCTACTCCCTTACTAGCTTCTCCCACAGTTTTTGCATAATAAATTGCACAGGAATAGTCGCCTCAAGATATTCTTCTGGGAAGCTGATCCAAAATATCTATAAAATCCAAAAGTCTAGAAACCACTAGTTTAAATCTTAAGAATGTCACTCCCATGTCTGCATTTGCCAATAGCTTATTCTCTGCATTCTTGGACTTTTCTCACTTCTTCAAACACCATGATCTTAGCTCACGATCTCACCTTCAAATGTGCTGTCGTTTCTCCTCCTTTCCTATCCACACTGGGGCCTCACTCAACCCTCAGGTTGCAGGTAAGTCACTTCCCCAGGGAAGCCTTCTCTGAGCCCATAGATTAGGTTCTCCCCTCTGCCAATACATGTTCTACATAGTCCTCTTCTAGGCTGGCCTGTAAGCTCAAAAAAGAGCCATCTCTGTCTGACTCTCTACTTGGTTCCTAGCAGTAAACTAGCAGAGAGGGTGTTCAATAAATGTTTCTGATGGTATAAAAAAATTCACCCAAATGTTAAAACAGTTACTGAATTTGGGCAGAAGAATTACAGATTTTTTTCATATATATTTTCCTTTTTTTTTTATTTTCTAGCTTCTTTTTAAACAATGAAACAGCTATTGATTTCATAATCAGTAAAATTTAAAAAGGCTTTTTCGTATACCTTAATAATATATTGGTCACCTTTTTTTCTCTTAAAATGTAATGATATTTTCAGTAGACTAAAGCTGAAAATCAGTAAAGAAAATTAGAGATACATGTATAAATAAAGTTTTAACTTTAATCACAATCACACACCAATAACTCTCAGTAACCCAAGAGCATGATTTATACTTAAAATTAGTTATACAGCTGTTAAGTTTTACACTGGAGAAAACACATTACATGTTCCATTGATCTCATCCCTAAATCTTTTCAGATTCTTGGAAAAAAGTAGATAACTTTGTAAGAAGAATGACAGAGTCCTAATAAAACAATTCTCATGTAAGAAAAGATCCTGCCATGCACGGTGGCTCATGTCTGTAATCCCAGCACTTTGGGAGGCCGAGGCGGGCGGATCACCTGAGGTCAAGAGTTTGAGATCAGCCTGCCCAACATGGTGAAACCCCATCTCTACTAAAACTATAAAAATTAGCCAGGCATGGTGGCACGTACCTGTAATCCCAGCTACTCAGGCGGCTGAGGCAGGAGAATCTCGTGAACCCAGGAGGCAGAGGTTGCAGTGAGCCGAGACCATACCACTATACTCTAGCCTGGGTGACAGAGAGAGACCCTGTCTCAAAACAAAACAAAACAAAACAAAAGATCCTACCCCAGTAATACTTTTTTTTGATTCTTAAGGAGAAAAAAAAATCTGATTTTAATTAAAGTATGCTGGCTTTCTGAGATTAAAAAATGACTAATAACATTATTTGCAATGAATTATTAGGTAGTTCTGGGGAAAAAAAAGTAAAGATTATACCAGCAATCTTCAAGTTGAGCTGTACTCTGTATGCTTTCTGGCAGGCCCTGGAAGTGTTCCCTTAGAGATGAGGGGACAGAGACATCAGAGGAGCAGCATGTTACAGAGGTAGCAGCTGACCCCTGCCCACCTCCTCCTGCACTGGCAGCTGGCCATCCTACAGCTGAACAGGCGCCCTGATCTGCTCTCAGGCTAGAATAAGCTCCCGAGAGCAGGGATTTTTATTTACTTTCTTCATTGCTCACTGACACATCTCTAATACCTAGAACAACACCTAGCACATGGTAGACACTAAAATATTTAATGAATGAGTGATTTAATAAAGTGATATAAAGTCCTAGGAACTGCTAAGATTCATAAGTAATAGAAAAAATCAGCAAATAATATGATCAGATAGTTAAAGGAAAAAGAAATATAAATGGTTTTTAAACATATGAAAAGATTTCAACCTCAGAGATAATAAAAGAATTTTAACAGTTAACATGAGATAACATTTTTCACCTATTAAATTGCAAAAATATTGAAATTTATTAACATACTCTGTAGGCGAGGCTTTGGCAAAACACTCATGTATATGCCCTGCTAGTGGGAATATAAATAGTACAGACCCTTTGGAGAGGAATTTGGCATTATACATCAAAATTACAACTGTTAAAAATTAAAATTAAATGTAATTAAAAATAAATTGTTAAAATGCAAAAACAAATGTTAAACATTACAAAATTATCAAATTATCCTTGGTTGAGTAACCTTCTTCTGGGAAATTTATCCCACAGATATACTTGCACACATGTGAACTGACTTATGATAAGGTAATTCCCTGCATTAATGTTTATAACAGCAAAAGACTAGAAACAACTAAGTGCCCATCCATGGGGGACTAGTTAATAAGTTGGGGTTCATACACACTATGCATTACTTGCAACTGCAGGAAAGAATGAGGAAGCTCTCTTTGTACTTACACGAAAAGAACCAATATATACTACTGTGTGAAACAAACAAGGTACAGTACAATGTGAAAAATATGCTTACTTTTATGCATAAAAAAATAAAATTATATTAGTATTTGCTTTTATCTGCACAAAGAAATTCTGGAAAGATACAAAATGAGTGATAAAAGTGGTTTATTTGAGGGCAGAATGGCCCTAGGCACATGGAGAACAGGGTACGTGCAAAATTGCATTATATTAATATTTTTTTTAATTAGGAGGTTGAATGACAAAAATGAGAGCCAAGGAGCTGCTAGGCGCAAAATAGGCTTATAGGGAGAATGCATGAATTACTTAAAGCAACATTTATTTTTAAATGAATATGCTTGTTGCAAAAACATTCAACTAACATTAAACCAAATCCCCTAAGGACCTCCTCTTAAGTATCACTCACAGGCCTATTGTGAGTTGTTGAAAAGATTTAAAAGTAATAACGTGATGCCTGTTTGAAAATATTTTCAAAGTCATATTTCATACTAACGTCTCAGAATGGTCCCTATGAGTTCAAATTGTGTTTTTTGGTTTTGGTAAATTTTATGAGATGCAAATAGCATAAGCCATGAATATTATAGTGTGAGGTACTACAAGTATAAAGCCTGCATTAAATCTTTATATGAGTGATCTCTCTTCCCCATCAGAAAACTAAGGAATATTTTCAAAATCAAATTCATGTAAATCACTATAAAGAATGCTTGCAATAAAAAAGATATCCAATATTAAAACAACCAAAACCTTTCTACCATATATCTTAGGTCATTAAAAAATTAGTCTTACCTTACTTCAGTTGGTGGATTTGGGGAATAAGGATTTGCAGAACAAGCGAGAATTCTGATGACTGCTCCAGGATGATAGGTTTCTAGAACATGAACAGCTGTAGGATACACCTGTTGTTCAAAAGTAAGTTCCACATAGTCCTGGCTCTGAAAATTAGGTGGCGTCCTCTTGAATGGCAAGGAAGCACTAGGACACTGATCCCACCATGTCCCATAAGTTCGAAACACAGCTGTCTGAGTAAAGTCACCAGAACTTGGGAATACATTTGGTACGCCAGCCAAATTCCACATGGTATAGGACATACTATTCTCACTTCCATAATGGGAACTGAAATCCACTACTTCTTTGGCATACTGGACCACCTCCGCATTGAGAGGAGAAGTCCGGCTGTTTGATTCTATAGTTCTATGGCTGCTCATCATCTCTCCTCTTGTAGCTGTCCTGGCTCGGCGCCGAAGGCATATATAATAAAACACAGTCAGAACTGTTAACATGGGAAAGACCGGTGACATCTAGATGTGAATTATGAAGCTTCAAAAGGTCAGGTGTCCTCAGTAAGACGCATGAACTCTTTGAAGGATGTTCTAAAAAAATGAATGGTTTGGTGAAGTAAAATAATTTAAATAACCCGAAAAATGCATGGATAAGGTAACAAACAGGCTCTACCCTCAATGTAATTTCCAGGAATGAAACTAAAAAAACAAGTTTTAAAATACAAATGTGAAGTCATGTTCTAATGTATTTTTAAGAAACCTAAATATTGTTATGTATACAATATGGGAAGCAAAACTATATTATAAGGCAATGGAAGATATATAATCCAAAAAGCCGTATTTTATACAAAATTATAGCCATCACTCAAGAAATACTAAGTCTTTGAATCTGAAATTAAAATTATTTAAATTACATGGTGAACGACTAAAATACTGCTGTAAATTCAAAAGAATCTTAGTCATTGCTGTAATTTTACATGTTAACAAACAATTCCCTACTGTTAATTATTACTCTCTTCCAAACATACTAAATTCAGATTTCACATTATGGGAATACAGTTTTTTTGGTGCTGACAGTTAATCCAGATGAACTAAATTAACTGCCGTACACATCACAGATCACCAGACAGTGTTTAATTTATAACTCTTAGCATTATTTGTTAGGGCAGTCCACGGCTGGCTGGCATCTGGTTTGTTGCCAGCTACTCTTAGAAATCACTCACCCCGGATAGAATGGCCACAGGATACACATGGGAAATGCAAAAGTTGGCATTCATCCATGTACCCTGAAATTTGCATACTGACTTCAGGTACAAATGCTGACATGTGACATTCTTTTACCTGTAAGACAAGAGTTTTGGAAAATATTTTTATGTCCAAGTCTCAAAGTCAAAATATCCAAAAATATGATTATAACAGCCAGTTATTCAACCTTTCAAATCAAACAGGCCACATGTTTCTATTTTGTACACAATTTTAAATAACGTAAAATAATGTATTTTTTAAATGTTATGCTAGAATATAATAAAGATTTAATAATGAACACTATCTACAGAGAGGTTGCAAACTCACAGCTTTTGTTTCAAACTACGTTTGCATACATATTTTACTGAGGCCAAACAGTGTTTTTTAAAAATTTGATCTAGTTTGTAACCTTCAACAATCAACAAGACCCCAAGAGGCACGAGCTCTCTCAATGGCCACTCTTGTTCCCAGCCAGCTCCACTCATTTACAACATAGGCTGGGGCCCATCCTCATTGACTAGGTAAACTTTTGTTGACAAAAACAAGGAACTATGAAACAAACTTATTTTTGTACCTGTAAAGTCTTGAGTTTAACTTCTAAGAAAGGAGATGTACCAACTTTTCTTCTTCTTTTTTTTTTTTTTTTTTTTTGAGTCAGAGTCTTGCTCTTGTCACCCAGGCTGGAGTGCTGTGGCACAATCTCGGCTCACTGCAACCTCTGCCTCCTGGTTTCAAGCGATTTTCATGACTCAGCCTCCCGAGTAGCTGGGACTACAGGCATACGACACCACGTCCAGATAATTTTTTGTGTTTTTAGTAAACACGGGGTTTCAACACGTTGGCAAGGCTGATTTGAACTCCTGACCTCATGTGATCCGCCTGCCTCAGCCTCCCAAAGTGCTGGGATTACAGGCATGAGCCACCACGCCAGGTCCCAACTTTTCTTTAATAGAGTGACGTACTAGTCTTCCAAAAGTTTAGCACTAAGATTATAAAACATTATTTGCACTAAATGTCCCTTCCACTCAAAAACCTCCAATGCCTTTTTCTTACCTACAAGATATAATCTAAATTCTTTGGTTTGGTATTTTAAGGCTCTCTTCAAGCTGGACCAATTTCTTCTTGTCTAACCCAGCAAACCCAATCAAGTTCTAATCACGCTTCGTATTTTACATTAAGTCTCGCTTCCTCTATCATTTCTTTTCTAACCACTTTTTTCCACATCAGTAGCCTTACTTTCTGACACCTACTGGCACTGCATTTCTATAAGACATATATACCTTAGTTCCTCTAGGGTTTATATTAGGAGTAAGTCTCTTGAAGGAGGGAATCTAGCCAAAGATCTTTATTTCTCAAAGTACACAGTACATAATAGGCACAAAATATTTGACATGTTGATAAAAAGGTGATGAGCAAACTAAAAAATTGTAAAACTCCAAAATAATTTTAAATTGTACAACAGCATCCCTTTGCGACTCATTCCCAGACAGATCCAAACACACTGAAATGCTTAAAAATATAAACACTGAAACGCTACTTAAAGAACTGAACTTGAAACAAGTGCAGAGAATCCACAGTTATAAGAAACTAAGAAGAAAGTCAGCTGGGCATGGTGGCTTACACCTGTAATCCCAGCACTTTGAGAGGCCGAGGCAGGTGGATCACCTTAGGTCGGGAGTTTGAGACCAGCCTGACGAAAATGGAGAAACCCCGTCTCTACTGAAAATACAAAATTAGCCAGGCATGGTGGCACATGCCTGTAATTCCAGCTACTCAGGAGGGTAAGGCAGGAGAATTGCTTGAACCCGGGCAGTGGAGGTTGCAGTGAGCCAAGATCGCGCTATTGCACTCCAGCCTAGACAACAACAGCAAAACTCTGTCTCAAAATAAAAAAGGTCAATGAGCAGAAAAAAGAAAGTCAATGAGCAGAGGTGAGGGGCTCAAGCTAATATGACTCATGGAACCAGTTGCAGGCCATAATGGTTACAAGGGGGCTCCCTAACACCCAATGAGAGACGTTATTTCAAGACACTGGTCACAGTTGGAAGGACCTTCATAAAGCCAAAACTCTGAAAGGATCACCCTATCCATGAAACCAGGACTATAAAAAGTTAGCTCACTGGCGAGGAAGCCCAAGTAGGCATGACATCAACCAAGGCAATGGGGGGAAAGTCACCAGAGGAAATCAGAACCATATTAGGCATGAACCACACACAGAGTGTGGGACTAAATTCACACAACCTTCATGGTTTAGAATCCCACCCTATCCTCATGCTAAAAACTGAAAAAAGAAAAGTAGTCCTGAACTGGTGAAACGTTAGGACCTGATAAGAGCAAATGTGAAAACTCTTTGCAGGAATGCTTCCAAAGCACAGAACAGACTAAACCTTTACTAATGATGCATCACAGTAATAAGTTACCGACCAGAATAGAAAATGAACCATGATGAGAGATAGTCAGTGGACTCACCAAATAGAGGGATTTACAGCACAAGAACAAGAAATAACGGAATAACCAGAATAAGACTTTTTCTAAAGAAGGGCAACAAAGCATATATTAAAATAAATAGGCTGGGCATGATAGCTCATGCCTGTAATTCCAACACTTTGGTAGGCCAAGGTGGGAGAATCACTTGAGCCCAGCGGGGTGGAAGTTGCAGTGAGCCAGGATTGCACCACTGCACTCCAGCCTGGGTGACAAAGCCAGACCCTGTCTCAAACAAACAAACAAATAAATAAATAAGGTGTTTCTGTAGCATACACTTATTGGATGTATTCATGAGTCAATGAACCAGATTCACCTCAGGACATATTATACCAAATACTGAAGTATGTCATGTTATAATTGGGGGAAAAAATAACTACCTGTTATATTACTTCTTTATTCAAACATTTCACCTACCACGAAAAATATATATTTAAGGCTGAGGCTGGAGGATCACTTGAGCCCAGAAGTTCAAGGCTGTAGTGAGTCATGATCGTGTCACTGCACTTCAGCCTGGGCCACAGAGCAAGACCCTGTCTCAAAAACAAACAAACAGACAACTTTTTGCAACTCAAGTCTCAATCCTTAACACAAAAATTTGAAATGGCACAAATCTTTCTTTTACCACATACACTTTATTTCAAAATAGGGCTGCAGATAAATTAAGAATCATTTTTCAAAGAAGTTACTTGAGTCTCCTCTTTTCAAAAAGAAAAAGAATTAACAAATAAGTTAAAATGCAAAAATAAAATTTAGGAAATAAAGAACAACATATAACACATATTCAAATCAATTGACAAATCAGCTAATTTGGAAGACTATGGATTTGTTATTCCTGGAAACCATCAAAGGAAGGACAGAAAACCATCTGCCACAGTGGATGGATAAGTTGACTGCTTAATCTTTGGACATCATGCCTCACTCCACAGTCTATAAATTGCTTCAACTAAGCTCCTCCCACTTTCTTTATAAAACTGTGTTTATCAAAAAGTAAAACAGTTTTTTAAAACCAAAGAAATATCTGCAAAATAAGATATCATCATTCATGTGAATTTTCACAAGCATTTTTGGCAAAAAGATTTTAGACAAATTGTGAAAGTCATATTCTGTTTGACATACCAAGCCACAAACTTTGAAACTGTTTCCCAGCTTCTACCATTGTAGATTATAAGATAATATCAAAAGCAGCAAGACTGTCATATGGGCAATATTATATTTAAGTTGTGTTAAAGTTAAGCAAAATTTTGCATTGAGGCAACATATGTAAAAGTGAGTTATAAACTGTAAATATATGTGTTATATGTTCAAACTTCTTCAATATAGAAATGTAAAATGGATGCTTTAGTTTTTTCCAACTATGGATAAAAATAATATTTAATGCTAATTTTTTCAGGAAATAAAGTTAAAAATGGCAAAAGAAATTTTTAAAGGAAGGAAATGCAGTGTATGATACACTGAAAAAGCAAATATATTTATTCTTTTTCCAGCAGTGCTATTCGGAAAATGTTATAGAAGTTAAAACCTGTTTTTGAAAATAAGCAAGGCATAGAAATAAAAAAGACAAATGCACAAACCCATTGCTAACGTCCTTCATTGATTCTAAACTCCTTTCCAATCTACTAAGATGACACATAAAAGTGTTTTAGGGGTGGGGAAGAACATATGGAGAAGAAAGGATAGCTCTCTCTACTTTTCCCTGGGAAATGAAGCTGAAAAAGGGAATGAAGCCATTGTCTCAGGACTCATGTGGGGAGCAACGACCAATGCAGAAGTCCAAATTGTCCAGGCGCTGTCTGGACTTCTGCCAAGGCATGGAGGCAATTTGTGGTAACCAATGAATATCCCAGTGGGCAATGAACCAAGTGTAAAAGATACAATAACTCTATTTTATGAGGAGAATGGGATTCAAAGATAAAATTATTTTTCCCACCTGGTGCAAATAAATAAATATTAGTCAGGAACACTTTAATTTGTCCAAAAGAGTGATTATAAAATGGACCTTCCGGGAGACATTCTCTTTTCTTGTTCATTCAAAAAGCTATTTTAATTTTAAAGACTCACAACATATAAAAATATTATTTTCCATTTAGAATAAGTCAGAATTAGGATGATCTTCAATTCATTTGTTGCTTAATTCAATCACTGATAAACAATGACTATAAGTGAGAAATTCTCTACACTGAACATTTATACTAGCACAATCAAGGAATACCAAAACAACAGCCATTTTAACTTGTATCATGAGACTTTTGTACTCCTTGGGAAACAACTTGCTTTTATACGACATGATTTTTTTATAATACAACTTAGGTTTCAACCACATCTTCCATATTATAAAATGCTTAACAAAGTTAAATAACACAATTACAGAGAAAGCAGTAACAGTGGAAAAGAGAAATTAAGAAGTATAGACAAGGGAGAACATATGTTTACTACTGAGATTTGAAGTGAGATGGGGAATCGATGAGGCGGAGAGAAGCAGGATGGCAGGAGCTGCGGAGAAGTGGGCTTGTACTTCAAAGGGAAAAGGAGGAAGGAAAAGGACTGTTAATAAAATAACAAAGGGAGCGATCAGAATGAACTAGAGCCAGGATAGTGTAAAGGCTAGGTTG